GGCCAGTCTTTTGCCTTTCAAACATACCAGGCGCATTTGATGAATTCGCATACCGTTAAGCGCACAAACTAAAAATATCAAAGAAGTGACTTTTTCGGCGTTGCCCCGGACTGCGGGGAAAGCCGAAAATGGGAGAAATGATCTACGGGGAATGCCGACATTGATGTTTTGCCATTTTATCTCAAACTTTATCCAGAATTCATCAAAGCTGACACACGTTTCAAGAGCTTGAGGACGCGGTGCACACTGGAAGTTATAATTGTGTGATATAACCAGTAAAACGCCTTTTGGGCGACCAACGGAGCGAGCGAGAGGATGGGCCTTGCACGTGCGAAATTGCGAGGGGGTACCTCCAACTAGCTTGTGCACTGCACCCTACTAACCGGTCCTTAGCGATGTGCCAAATTTCAGCGCAATCGGCCTAGCCGTTCTCGAGATCTGGAAGCGGCACACTGCACGTGCGCACGTGCAAGCGGGGTCCAAATTGACTTTTGCACGGCACCCTACTAACTGGTCCCCAACCGTGTACCAAATTTGAGCGCAATCGGCCCAGCCGTTCTCGAGATCTGGGAGCGCCCCCTGCACGTGCGCACGTGCTGTAGCACCCCAACCTTAACACATGCAGATGAATTATCTGATGGAGACCTAACTGTGTACCGAGTTTCAATTCAATCGGCCCAACCGTTGTGCCGTTATTGAGGTTGCAATTTTGGGGGTTCTTAAAAAATGTCCAACTTTACCACGCGCCACGTGCGGTGGTTGGCAAGAACGCATGGTGGCCATCACACCACAGAACTTTTACGTCCAAGTGACATTCAGTAAAGAAGACCGCTTGTCAATCGGATGTCCCGTTCCTAAGATATTAGCTTTTGAAGAGCGTCCCCACGGCCGGCCGGCCGGCCGGCCGGCCGGCCGCTCATACTCAGGATTTTCCCTTAATTCAGTATGAGACTCCGCTCGCTTCGCTCGCTCCGTAATAAGAAAATGCCAGGTAAATCATTCCTTATAGGTAACAGGCCGTTGTGTCGGTTGAAAGTGTAATTTGTGTGACTAAAAATACGCGTTGCTATTCTACAGCAGTAAAGTCCACGTAGCGTGCTTTTAACACGTGCGTAATCGCACGTTTTCGGCATTACCCCAGCCAGCCATACTTTCATTTGCAGGCCCATAACTTTTCAACGTGCTGTATAAATTTCAAATAGGCAGCACACTTATGCAAAGACATGCTAAAGATTACTTGACCGAATTGGCCAGACAAACGGTAGCATAATGAGTAAAAAATGCAGCTTCAAAGGCGCATGTAGTACAAGGGAAACGTACCTTGAAAACGCTCTTGGCGCCCTCACAGTCGAAGTATTCCGAATGACGACTCGTAACAAACATGCGATAATTGTAGTCACTTAAGCTTCAGAGCATCACTGACAGGTGGCATCCATGTTTTACGGTTTTCGAAATATCTCGAATGTCGGCTTTGCCCCAACTCCGGCATTGCCCCAACTTCTCCTACCGTTTTGGCAACCTGGAATAAAGGCTTTAATCTGCCAAATGAGTTGCTTTTTTCACAGTTTTCTTCCTGTGTGACCCACAACCCCTAATTTGGGGAGGACAAGCTGCCCCAACGGTTCCTGACCTTATGAAAAGTTGTGGGGCACCGCCCCCACGGCCCCAGAGCTGTGGGAGCAAGCTTCCCCCACTGCCCCCTCCCCCGGTTCCCGCGCCTATGTATGAATCTATGAAATTATGTTGGTAGATTTCCGATTTCGATTCCTCCAGCTGGGGGGGGGGGAGGGGGGCTCAAATACATTACGAGCCCCCCCCCCCCAGCCGAAAAGTTGAAGGGGCTCAGCCCCCGCTAGCCCCCCCCCCCCCGGTTCCCGCGCCACTGATGTGAACTCTGATGTCCATTGCGCGCTCCGGCGTTTTATGCCGCAAAATAATCGGTGAGTCTTGTAGTGATACGTTTCACCAGACCTCACCAGCCCAATCTCACCAAGTGCGGTAAACTCAATTTGGGGTAAAATACCAAACTACCCCACTCTGTAACTACAAAAATACTACCCCGAAACTAGTTAAACTAGCTTGGTGAGATTGGGCCAAGTGCCCAACCTCACCAAGCTAGTTTAACTAATTTCGGGGTAGTATTTTTGTAGTTACGGAGTGGGGTAGTTTGGTATTTTACCCCAAATTGAGTTTACCGCACTTGGTGAGATAGTGGCTTCACCAGGCTCCATCAACTGGATGGCCGTATAAGGCGGACCGTGAACTTGTATAATTTGTAATATTGTCGAAAAAACGGCCGGGCCGAGCATCAGCACAGTAAGAAAATGTTCGACGTATGTAGACGAGTCATTCGGCATGGAATGCGCAAGCATTCACATGGATGCAACCTGATCATCGACCAACCTGGATCCATTAAGTTCAATCTTCAGAGGCTGTTGTACTTCGCCAGACCGTTTGAAAACTGACTAGGCCGTTTTCAAACTGTCTAGGCCGTTTCAAACTGCCTAGGCCGTTTTCATACGGCCTGATATTTCAGGCGGTTTGCAAACGGCCGGCTTTTTCAGGCCGTTTTCAAACGGCCTGACTGGGCCAGGCCGTTTGCAAACGGACTGAGTTTTCATACGGCCTGTAACATATATACTAGTACAAGCCAAGCAAGTACAAGCCGGAGCTCCTTCACAGTACACCTATGAATTCTGATTCAATTTGATACGGTTGGTTGGTGTGATTACAGTCACGATTTCGTATTGACTTGTACGTACATACAAGAATCGGCGGCGCGAAGTGCCGCGAAAATTAGCAAAAACATTTGTAAAAACACAGAGGGGGCCTCCTCTCTACAGAGGACCGCCTCTCTACTGCGGGCCTCCTCTTTTCACAGGGCCTCTCAAATACATAAGGCCCCCTCTCTACAGAGGGCTTCCTCTCTGGTGCTCGTCCCCTGGTGCTCGAACGCTTGAGACAAAAACGAGTAACATTCTGGCTTTCAATACGCCTTTTCACGCAGCACGATCCAGAAAAACAAAGGTATTAGCTCAGAAGTGTTTGACAGGTGATTTTGAGCATGCAAGACGGCGTCTGTACTCTATAACGCATTTGGGTCTTCGGCTTTTGGGGAGGGGGGTCAAATGACCCTCTCAGACCTTTGGGGGGGGGGTCATGACCCCGTGGAAGCCACCGACCCAGACCAGTGTCATACGGTGTGGGTAAGCTGTGCCGCTTGACAAGTAAGTGAAGCGGCACAGTCTTCCGGTACCAGGCGGCTGCTGCCGATGCTGAGCCATAGGAACCCTGTAGGTAAAGAGAATTGGAACATCAATCTGCTCCCGAGTGTAGGTACTAGCCATTTTCACGACGGGTTATCGGGCGTAGGCACCAACCTGGACCAAACCTCTTTTACAGCAACTATCGTCATATCATGAAATTATTTCAGTGTTTTAATAGAAAATAATGTAAGATACTTAGAAAAAGCAGATATACCTATGAATAGCTTTGCAACCTAAGTTGCTAACTTCTAAGAAACACAAGCCGTTTTCACGACGGCCATCTGGTACACATTTGGTGCACATCTGGTGCAGATTAGGTGCAGATTTGGTCAAATTAGGTTCAGTGTCTCTTAGTAGCTATCAGCTATAGGGTTTTACTAATTGCTTATATGCCTGCTTTGTCATATTATCATAGTATCATCACTATGATATGTTTTGTCATACAGGGTGTTTCACTAAAAGTGTCAAAAAGTAAATGCTTATTAAAGATATATAAAATATGCAAATCACGTGGTTGCGCATGTGGCTTTGTTGCAAATTTTTGGACATTTATGCTTTGTCCATTTAAGATGTATTTTACACCCATACGGAGCGAGGGCAGGAGGCCAAAGTTCCTAGTCGTTTTTTTTTCCTTATACAGACCAAGAACAGGTTATTTACACCTCAACAGGAGGGGTGAATTACACTTACATTTGGTGCCATCAGAAACATTGAAACGGTATGCCGACTTTTCAGGAAACGTTTTACTCTCTCACCTCGCTACGTTCCAGATTATAAAAGTTTAAAAGGGCTTCTTAAGAGGTTTAAAAGGGCTCCTTCGATGTCAGTTCCAGTCCAAAAAAAGGCGGGGTCGCCCCCCACCTCTCGGCGGAAACCGTTGAAAAGGTCAGGGTCTTTTTGAGGGCCTTTGAAGATAACAAGAAGCTAATTTCAACATCAGAAATAGCCAAGGCCTTACAAGTTATCAAAAACAACCACTGTGACGGCTGTAGCCACCAGGAACTGGCTGGACCAGAAGTTCCTGGGCCAAATAATCAGCTGCCTCACCGCCCGCCCCCATGGCCAGCGCGAAGCCCCGATCTGTCACCGCTAGACTTCTGGTTTTGGTCAAGTAGCTCTCGCAGAGCTGAGGAAGACTCAAGTCGCATCACTTCGGGAGCTGAAGAGCACAATTCAAGGCTTTGCCGACAGTCTGGACGCTGAATATGAAAACGGGCTGTGAGCCACCTCCGGACACGTGCGGAAACGGTGCATCAAAAGAAGGGGCGGATATGTGGAATAGGTTTGAGTGACGGTGATATCGCTGTTATATATTCAAATGTCCAACAATTGCGGATGAAATGATATGCAAATTTCCTTAGAAAAGATTGTTCTCATGTGCATTATGACCTTTCACTTTTTGACACTTTTAGTGAAACACCCTGTATATCATAGTTAAACACTAAAATAAATTCATAAAATAAAAAGAGATTAGGTGCAGATTTGGTCAAATTAGGGGCACTCGCCGTATAGCCCGTCGTGAAAACTGCTACAGTGAACGTAATGTGACCAAATCTGCACCAAATGTGAACCAAATGTGTACCAGATAGCCGTCGAGAAAACGGCTACTAGATACCGAGGGAAGGTATGTAGTATGTACCTGACATTGATACAAAAACATGAAGCCAACAACCCCTCACATTTCCATCTCTATAAATGTGCCCTGTGTTCATATAGTGTCACCATTATCCACAGGTTTTACAGCTGGGCTGCTACATCCGCACCATATGGGAGGATCCCCGCGTCACCTTGCCCGGTAAGCCTATCAGTCGCACATGCTGAATAAAATGTGCATACTTCCTACATGTACTGGGTTCGGAGGAGCCCGCCATTGCCACTAGATAGTGCTCACTGCTCAGGACTCCAGCAATGACGTTCAATATTTCACGAGAGCCAAGTTGAATATTCGCAAGTCGTGTCACTGTAAAGTTTGCCTTATCTTGTGATGCAAATGTAAAATCTAAACGTGATTAACGTGATTATTAAATAGTTTTTTATGCATTTAGGGTAATGCTCATCGCTATATAACATTACATTTTTATAGGTAATGCCAGTTTTATGCAGCTACACACGTCAGTAGTGGACAAGATATGGGTCCCGGATCTGTTTTTCGTGAATGTTCGGAGCATCAAGCAGCCGTACTTGCTGATAGAAGCTGCTGGTGTTACCTTATTCCGGAACAAGACCATCATTCACGTGCGTTACATCACCATCGGTGCTCATCTATAGCATGCTGCACGCCTAAGAAACTCATAGGAAAGCACTGCAATGTTTGAAGCATGAAATTGCATTTATTTAGCAATTTTGTTAAGAAGTGTTCACTTTCTTCTTTCATTGCATTTTTATTTCTATTTTAGCTTTTAACCCTCGCCCTGGCAGGGGGGGTCGATGCGACCCCCCCCCCCTAAGGTTTTTCGAAGATAGTGTAAAAACGGCGGCGCGCAGCGCCGCCAAATTTGGCACAGCCTATGGGGCAACCTTTTTACATATGACCTAAAAATTTCAGGTCCGGGTGACCTTGGGTCAGGTCACCAGGTCAGAAAAACCGGTACAAGGTCATGGTCAAATTTCAATTTTCTTTTTGCACCTGTCCAACTCACAGTTTTTGACTGATTTCCTTCAAACTTTCAGGATGTGCTAAGTTCACCGAGTTGTATAACATATAGTTCGGGTTTTTTGAGGTCACTGACCTGAGGTCAGTTAGAGGTCATTACGTCGTAATGTTAAGCCTATGAGAAAATACTAAATTCGGAAAATACTTGAGATATCCGCTTCGTTCTATCACTTTTGTGCTTTGAAACCACAGTACTTAACAGCAGGTCACTTGGTGCTTCTTTTTTTGGTGTACTTATCCATGGGTCAGGTCAAATGAGGTCAACTGAGGTCAAATGACGTTTTTGCCAATAACTTGGCACATAATGACGCTAGAGCTTAAAAAATGGTATCATTGTGTTCCTGGTGATCAGCCGAATCGAATGATATGCGATATGATGCAATTTGGTTAACTTGAACTTAATTTATTAATTTAAGTTTACTTAAAATTTAAGAAAAACTTTAAGTACACTTAAACAAGCTAAAAAGTATGTCATTCGACGCGCCTTGACGTGCTGAGTTCACTGGTGCTTTCGGTTTTGCTCTATCTTAATTAGATCAAAAGTTATAAGCGAAAAACTTTTGACCTGTTTTTAGCGAAATTTTTACATTTATACCCCCCAAAACCCCCCTAAATATTGACCTAGAGCAACCAAATTTGCACAGGGGCGAGAACTCCAGGGGGCCCACCTACCTACCAAATTTGGTGTTTCTAGGTGCCATAGGAGCCAATCGCGAGGGGGGGGGGGTCGCATCGACCCCCCCCCCCCTGCCAGGCCGTGTTATGAAAAATGCCCTGCCAGGGCGAGGGTTAACCCGCGACCTGCTGGGGGATGGTGTTTGAGCAGCCCCTGCGGTTTTTTTGCAAGCACACCACGCCATTTTTTGCACATGCGAAAATTTCAGACTAAGGTCACTCAAGGTCAGGTCGCCACTGCCAAGTCACGTCAAGTGACTTCCACCCCCACAACAATTTTCCATGTCTGCCATACCTACACTGAATGACCAATCGCTTTGAAACTTCAGCGATTGATAAAAGCAACGGTTATATGCACAAAATGTTTATCTCGGAATTTTAACATCGGTGACCTAGGGTGAGATCAATTTTGAGACCTCCCCATTATAAGTCAAGGGGAAAACTATGAAAGGCTCTTTTGGACGAACGTCATTCTAAACACTGTCAAACAGCGAGTTGTTACTGCAACGGTACCTACTTTTGCTAATTATTGAATCGACTAATGTCGCGCAATGTTTGCATACAGTGCTCTAGCACCTGTTCATAAAACAAGCATCAGAGTTTTGTCGTTCCAGTCGGGGCTTTATGTCGTCAGAAGCCAGTGCTACTTTACATACGAAAGATACCCAATGGATAAACAGAGATGCAAGCTGAGATTGCAAACATGTAAGTAGTCCTCGATTAGTGTCTGTGGCACATCCGTTATCATATTCCTCGTTCAATACTTAATTATTTGTTCTCTTAACTTGTTAAGTGATTGCTGAATGTAAGGCATTTAGTTATATCAATTGATTGTTTTTGAATGACCAGCTTACAAAATCATACTTTTTACATTCATGTACATATGTACTCATTACGGAGCGAGCGAAGCGAGCGGAGTCTTTCCTTAGTTTAACCCGCGCGGGGCTGGGGTCTCCAGCCGAACGCGCGGGGCTGGGGGGGGGGGTAAATTTTACCCCCCCTGTTATCTCCCGAACTAATGGTCCGATTTGGAAAATTCAAACGCCAATCGAAAGCTCTCATCACGAACTACTAAAAACATGTACTTAATTTAAAGTTTGAGGTCAAGGTCAAGGTCAGGTCAAGGGTACAAATTGCAAGTTTCTACAGTATCGGCCTTGCACCGTAGTTGCCGAAGAATGGAGTCATGTACTGAGACTGATCGCCCAAAACGTGTTCTTAGGCTACCAAGACAATATTCGTTGCATACAATATCATTCAGAGGTCAAGGTCAAGGTCAGGTCAGGTCAGGTCAGGTCACCAAAAAACAAAATATAGAAAATGGCATGTGCGACACATGTTTTATGGGTAATTTTACTCATAGAATTCAATAGGCACACTCAATAAGTGATATGGACCACCTCTGGATGAATTTCAGGTCGAGGTCAGGTCAAGGTCAGGTCAAGTGAGGTCAAATTTTGAAGTTGGTTGTTAAGGCCTAAAAAGGTGTCTATCTGATGCAGTTTTTCACGGCGAATCGAATGGTGCTATTGTTGTTTCCGTACGAGGTCTAGAAATTCCAAAAAAGTCATTTTTCAAAAAAATTGTGTGTCGTGACGTCATAAAATTTTGAATAACTCCCACATTTTTGAACCGATTCTTCTAAAATTTGGTATGTAGGTGCACATAGACCACTTCTCTGACATATATTCCGGTTTTTTCGATAGACTCAAAATTTTGGATTTTATAATGATTTTCCCAAAAAAGTCAGTTTTTTGAAAAAAATTTAGGCCAAAATCCAACATTTTTAAAAAACCGAGATAACCATTTGATAGGCAAAGTAAAATAACGTATAAACTTTTTTGTTACGTCTTGATTCCTTTAAAAATGAAGATGTTAGCGGCGTTTGAACTTTTGCCGTTTTTGAGGCGAAAATGGCGAACATGACGTCACTAAAACGTTAATTTCTCAAAAATTTTCCGACGGATTTCGCTCAAATTTTCAGGGAACGTGTCAAATTGATGTAAGAAAAGGTACTGAAAGTTTGGGCGCCGTTTTTGAGATATCGCAAAAATTCGCGAGGGGGGTAAAATTTACCCCCCCCCCCCCAGCCCCGCGCGGGTTAACGGAAATTTCTGAGTATGAGCGCCCGGCCGGCCGGCCGTGCGGACGCTTTTGCGAGGCTTATATCTCAGCAACCACTTGTTACACGCGGTAATTTTTGTAGGGTAGCTTCATTCCTTCTACCAAGTATTGGACTATTCCCGATGCATGTGGGTGACCCCTTATGTATCTCGGTAAGTACTTGGACGATTGCGCTGAAAGTTGGCATGTAGGTAGGCACTCACTAGGCACTGCATACCCATGTGCCAGAATTGGGGTGCTACTGCACGTGCGCACGTGCAGGGGTCGTTTCCAGATCTCGAGAACGGCTGGACCGATGGCGTTCAAATTTGGTACACGGTTAGGGACCAGTTAGTAGGGTGCCGTGCACAAGTCAGTTGGGACTCATTTTCAATTTTGCACGTGCGCACGTGCAGGGTGCCGCTTCCAGATCTCGAGAACGGCTGGGCCGATTGTGCTCAAATTTGGCACATCGCTAGAGTCCGATTAGTAAGGTACCGTGCGTCAGTTGGAGGTACCCCCTCGAAATTTCGCACGTGCAAGGCCCACCCTCTCGCTCGCTCCGTCAGTCGCCCCAAAAGGCGTTATACTGGTGCATATATCATCTTATATTTTGGCATTGATGTGATCATGGCCCGTGAACGAAACTTAATCTAAAACAAGAAATGCATTAAAAAAGTATAATTTGTATTGAGGTATTTCTAAAACAAATAATTTGTGATATTCTTGTTGTTGTTAAGGTAACTATTTTCAATGTCATTTAAGGTAAAATAATTACGGAGCGAGCGAAGCGAGCGTAGTCTTTCCTTAGATTAACGGAAATTTCTGAGTATGAGCGGCCGGCCCCCGGCCGGCCGTGCGGACGCTTTTGCGAGGCTTATATCTCAGCAACCACTTGACCGATTTACATGCGGTAATTTTTGTAGGGTAGCTTCATTCCTTCTACCAAGTATTGGACTATTCCCGATGCATGTGGGTGACCCCTTATGCACGTGCCACGTGCAAAACGAAGAGGTGTCAGTTTTGTAATTGTTGCAATACTTATCTCGGTAACTACTTGGCCGATTGCGCTGAAAGTTGGCATGTAGGTAGGCACCCACTAGGCACTGCATATCCATGTGCCAGAGTTGGGGTGCTGCTGCACGTGCGCACGTGCAGGGGTCGTTTCCAGATCTCGAGAACGGCTCGAACGATTGCGCTCAAATTTGGTACACAGTTATAGGCAGGGCTGCGGAGTCGGAGTCGGAGTCGGAGTCGGAGTCGGTCGGAGTCGACAGTTGTGACCGGAGTCGGAGTCGGAGTCGGAGTCGATATTGTAAACCCCAGCCGGAGTCGGAGTCGGAGTCACCGAAAATCTGTCGACTCCGCAGCCCTGCCAGGTGTGCGGAGTCGGAGTCGGGAGTTGGAGTCGATCGGAGTCGACATTTCTGCCCGGAGTCGGAGTCGGAGTCGGAGTTGGTTTTTGAAAGCCGGAGTTGGAGTCGGAGTCGGAGTCGCCGTAAATCCATCGACTCCGCAGCCCTGCAGTTAGGGACCGGTTAGTAGGGTGCCGTGCACAAGTCAGTTGGGACTTGGGACCCATTTTGCACGTGCGCACGTGCAGGGTGCCGTTTCCAGATCTCGAGAACGGCTGGGCCGATTGTGCCCAAATTTGGCACATCGCTAGAGACCGGTCAGTAGGGTGCCGTGCACAAGTCAATTGGGGGTACCCCCTTGCAATTTCGCACGTGCAAGGCCCACTCTCTCGCTCGCTCCGTTAGTCGCCCCAAAAGGCGTTATACTGGTATAACTTGTCTATTATTGTGGTCTAGTGACAAGTGATGGTATACTTTGCCCGATGTTCTGTTACACCCAGGAAAACCACCTCGCCCACTGTGTGTTCGCCTGTGTGTGCCTCAGACATGTACACTGATGACGTGATGCTGGTTTCCTGGCACCACTCTGGTGTGGAGCTGTATTTCGACACCCGGCCGCGCAGTTTCAATGTCGATGATGTACGCATTGCCGAGCCAGAGGTCGACTATACCCTCACCGGTGAGCCACCCGCTCCGCTAAGGTGTAATGTAAAATACGCGAATAATACCCGGCAGTTTCAGGGGTATCTCGCCGCCCGACAGTTGCTCGGGGCGGGGGGGGGGGGAGAGGAGCGGTAAACGCCCCTAGCCAATAACTCGAGAACCAAACACAGGCGAAGCGCAACGCACTAGGCGGCAAACGAAAGAACGCAACGAGACGATTCGAATGAGGGCTTGAAAGTTGAACGTCGAGGTTACGGGTCGGGTCAAGGTCAGGTCAAACACTTGAAATTCGGCTTTCAGTAACATGTACTAGGAGTATGGAGCCTCGTACTGGGCGTCTCGTATTTATAGCTATACTGCGGCGAAAAGGTGGGGGCGTTTAGCGCCGACCTCTTCCAGTAAGTCGCGGGTTGAAGGAAATATGCCACTTTCTTTAATTAAGCCTATTTATTCTGGTTATGTTTCGGAGCTCTCGGTTATTGTCCAGCAATCTTCTGACCTATTCTCCTGAATTTTAGAAGACACTGTAAGTTTTAATCCCCGCAGTAAATTGAATTAACGGTGCTGAAAAACGAACGTCTCCACACCACTAATAACAACGCACTGGGATAACTTCGCTCTCGCAGTTTCCCTCACAATCAATTGTGAAAGCATGATGTGTAATCGGTGCGCTCTGTGCCCTCAGGGGCCCTGAGTGAGGTCAGCTTCGAGGTGCTGCTGACGCGCAAAGTGCGGAACTCTGTCCTGTCCGTATTCGTGCCCAGCTTTATGCTCATCTTCGTCAGCTGGCTGTCGCTTTGGGTGAGCTCAAGTGTTATGTGTTATGAACTTCCAACAGACTATTCAAAAGGCTGTAATTCTTTGGCCCTTGAATGTCGGTAGTTGGCTGTAGTGTGATGCTGCATAACGTTTCGTTCGTTCAAACATTGAAGCATACCTATCAGCTTGCATCGTAAAAGCTTGCAAATTGCATAAATTCTGCATTGCATATGCTTGTACTCTTACTGATCCGTGCTGGAATAAGTTCGAAATGCCCTTCTCAGGACCACTCAGGCTTATTTTTCAATCGGACAGCGCAATCCTTTCTCAAAGTATATTTAGATATCGAGCACAAGCTTTCAGCAATCAATAGAAAAAGTAACAGCAAAGGAATATTCAACCGACCGCATCGCAAAGTATTTATAACTCACAGAGCGATTGGAATCACTCTGTTTGCGCTGACCCCAACTGTTCCGTTTGGCGTTTGACCTCAGATCCTCCCAGAACTGGTGCAGGGCAGAATGGTGATAGGTATTGATCACCACCCCACTGACACTAACTGTTTGACCCCAGGACCCTCCAGATCTGGTGCCGGGCAGAATGGTGTTGGTGATCAGACACATCACCGTACTGACACTAACCGTTTGACCCCAGGTCCCTCCAGAACTGGTGCCAGGCAGAATGGTGTTGGTGATCACCACCCCACTGACACTAGCTGTTTGACCTCAGGTCCCTCCAGAACTGGTGCCGGGCAGAATGGTGCTGGTGATCACCACTCTGCTGACACTAACGGGCCTCTTCAACGCCAACGTGTAAGTATACTCATCGCCGGGATCACATGGTGATACCATATGCCGGGATCATGGCGGCATCACATGATGCATGATGAAATAACGGGAGTATCCGTGTTAGCACAATGGCACCACCGTGCTATCACACGGCGATGCTAACATGATCATACAGGCCGTTTTCACGACGGAATAGCAGGCATCTATTTGATGCCCTGTTTGGTCCTTTGGTTCCTCAGGAATTTTAGTAGTTATTTATAGTAGGTTTCCCAGCTTTCGAATGAGCGGTCAGTTACTTTGCTGTTTATCTATTAAACATTACATTAATTTATTTAATCTAAAGGTTTACTACTCACGAAGACCTAATGCGTAAGCACATTTGTGACATTTTCAAATCGATATACTGCTAGTAGGTACAATGATTAGAAAACATACTGAGCTGCCAGCTGCGGGTGACCGAGCGCTCCCAATTCCACGCTGGCTTGGCTTTGGAGCCACGGCAGACGGCGGAGGTCAAGGTCACTGCTGAGGCGGCGGCGGATTTGTTGCGCCCAGGCGCCACCAGGGCGCGCGCAGTGTCGGGCCGGTGAAACAGGAGCCGGGTATCTAACTAGTTGCCAGGCTGATTTGATCCCTCATAGTCGAAAGGTGGGCTACTAGAACCGAAAATTGCTTTGTTGATAAAGAAATAAGCAATTTGATGTCAAAAATTGCCTGGATTACAACTTTTTAACATATTTTGAAGGCAAAAGAAACCAGTTGTAAGGATTATAAGGCATTAAAAGGTTGGTACTTTCCAGGTATCAAATAGGTTCCACCGCGATCGTCCCGTCGTGAAAACGGCCACAATGCATCATGGCAGTGAAGTGACATCCTACCCATGGTTTGCCGCAGCCAGAGCATGCCAGAGGTGAGCTACGTAAAAGCTCTGGACATCTGGAACCTGACCTGCATCGTCTTCGTGCTCTTCACTATCGTCGAGTACATCGTTGTCCTAAGGTGAGGACTAGCTACACCTTTAATTTTTCAATTCGAACGCATGATACCTTTCAGCGAAATAGCAAATTTAGTGTTATTGCTCAGTAGTCCGTGGCCTTTATCTATTGACTATATCGATCGCAGCATTCCATGGTCCTGCACTGTAAAAAAAAGGTTAGCAGTTTCACCTGCTATTCTCGCGCCAAATGTCAGCACTTTTTAACTGCTATTTTCGGCTGCTATCAGCCCTGTTAATCGGTTCCTGCTAAAATTTTAGTAGCCTTGAGCTGCTAAATTACCTGCTATTCGTGGTGTTAATTAACGTGTTGCATTTACTAACCCTACCCTCGGCGCCAAATTTCAGCCGTTTTAAGTTCGTCATTTTGTGCTAAATGACTGCTAAAAACGAAAGAAGTCACCACTTAGCATCATATTAACCCGCGCCGTGCTGGTGGCCTGAACTTTCCGCCGAGTGCTGGGGGGGGGGGGCGTTTTCACGCCCCCCCGTCTAACTCGGCTCCTGGGCCACGTAGCGACACGCGGTAAGCGGCAATCGAAAGAGCGTCAAAAATAAAGACGAAAACACTTCGGTCATTTTTTGGGTCAGGTCAAAGGTCAGGTCACCAGAGGTCACCAAAGGTAAAATGTTGACTATTTCAACATTTTGGAAACTGCCAACGGCTATCTCGGGAACCGATAGAGCTACAGCGCCGCGGAAAAGCGCATTCGATAGCCCTTTTACAGACCTTTCTGAGTAATGTTCTCAGATTTGACCTCAGGTCAACGGTTTAGCCTCCAGAGGGCAAAAACTCCAAAAATAGCCGTTTTTACGAAAAACGTTTTTTCGTCAATAACTTTTGACTCATAAGCGCCATGACATTACTTTTGCCAGCATCGTGTTCCTCTCGTCGAGACGCGTCGAATGAACTATTCGTTGACCTTGAAAGGTCATTTTGAAAATTTGACCTCAGGTCAAGGTCATGACCTGACCGAAAAGGGTCATGTTGCATATCAGTCGATCCGTATCGTCGAGCTGAACACATCTGACGTGTTTTCACCGCTCTAGCACGTCTCTATCAAAAGTTATAGCCAAAAAACTGCTGGCGACCGTTCATGACCTGAGATGACCTCAGGGGCACACAGAGGGGTCACAGGTGCATTTTTCCTATTCAGTGTGTCATGTTTACCTATGAACCGATGTTTGAGAGCGTTTTGAACGATATTCGTCCAAAAGAGGCGCATTTCAATTTTCTCCCATTGACTTATAATGGAGAGGTCGCAAAATTGACCTGACCTTAGGTCACAGATATCAAAAATCCGAGATATACATTTTATACATACTGTTACTCATATCAATCGCTGAAAGTTTCAAAGTGATCGTTCAGTCGGTGTAGCTATAGCGAGCCTTTGAACTTTTTCTGAGGTAAGGTCACTTGACGTGACCTGGTGACCTGACCTTGAACGGCCTAGGTCTGAAATTTTCACAACATGTGCGGAAATGATGTAGGAACACGTGTACCAAAAACGGCGGCGCTGCGCGCCGCCGTTTTTGAGATATTCGCAAAAAACCTGAGGGGGGGGGCGTAAAAACGCCCCCCCCAGCACGGCGCGGGTTAACAATTTTAAACTGCTAAATTTTGCACCTCATAAACTAAATTACAAGTTATATCCATACGTAAAATTAACGCAATGCGAAATAAATGGCCGCTGACAATGCCGAACGCCTGCATACCTACCCTATTAGGCACGCACGCAACTTAATTAACGCACGCAACTCAAAGCACGCACTTTTATTAACACCTTTTATTTAATAAGGACTTCAAAACCACACCCCATGAGCGTTACATAGCAGCGGTGTGCCACAAACCACAGAAAATCGGTGCCGGTCGGACGGCTGCCGTGCAGAGTATGGTGGCAGCTGGTCCCAACCAGCGAGCACATGCTGGCTGCACACTCGATAATCGCGCGTAAGACCAGAGCAGCAACAGTCAACACGCATAAACGTATCCGCGCCGGTCGGCAGCTGCCGTGCCCACTGCACAGCCCGAAGGCATGACGTATTCTCACCAGCGAGCACACGCGGCCACGCCGGCCGTTACCCATACTCGGTAACCACACGCCAGCCCAGGAAAATGCTATTCAATTTCTTCAGACGACACTAACAAATTTCAACATAAGGAACACACTCACCTCACGATGATCCCACACCACGTCCACTCGACACACATGCACTGCACAGTCCGGTCGGAATGTCGCGACGCACCTGGATGCACTGCAGCACCGTCCAACACTTCAATAATAAAATGGCGCCGCCGCGCGAAAGTGCGCAATCGGTCTAGCAGGCTAAAAAACTGCTACAAATTTACAAACACAAAAAGTTAGCAGTCGTTTAGCAGACTTTTATGTACTCGCCGTTTGGTATCAGTCCTATGATGCTAACCTTTCCCGCCAATGATTTAGCACCTTTGCAAAACATGTCTTTTAGCAGCTTAAATAGCAGGTCCAGCAGAACAAGTACACTGTAAAAAAGTTAAGCAGTTTACCTGCTATTCTCGCGCCAAATTTCAGCAGTTCATAGCTGCTATTTTAGGGTGCATAAACGCAACACGTTAATTAGCACCACGATTAGCAGGTAATTTAGCAGCTTAAGGCTACTAAAATTTTAGCTGGAACCGATTTACAGCGCTGTTAGCAGCCGAAAATAGCAGCTATAAAATGCTGAAATTTGGGGCGAGAATAGCAGGTAAACTGCTTAACTTTTTTACAGTGTAGGAAGCTACCAATTGAGCCTGCTAAAATGAAAGGAATGCCATAGAAAACTAGGAAAAAGTTCGTAAAAAGTATGAAGGTGCAAAATACAACCTGATTAGCAAATGAATAGCGCACGATTTAGCACTAAACTGCTAATCTTTTTTAACAGTGTGTGAGCATTGTGCCGTGGATGAACTGAATCGTTGACAAGAATAAGCCGAGCAATTAGAGGCTATTGTTGATTGCATTAGCGTTTGGCAGTGTGTAGGAAAGCATTTGATAATTTATCATTCGGCGCTATGCCACCGTCGGCCGCCTACACAGCGCCTCAGAGAAGTCGGCTAAGGCACGTTCAATGACTCTAGAACTAATAACTACCAGTAAAACGCCTTTTGGGCGAAGAACGAGCGAGCGAGATAGTGAGCCCTGCACGTGCGGAAGGGCGAGAGGGTGCTTCCAACGGGCATGCGCAAAGCACCCTTCTAACTGGTCGCTAGCGGTGTGCCAAATTTGAACGCAATCGGCCCAGCCGTTCCTGAGATCTGGAAGCGGCATTCTGCACGTGCGCACGTGCAAACGGGGTCCAAAATGACTTTTGCACGGCACCCTACTAACTGGTCCCCAACCGTGTACCAAATTTGAGCGCAATCGGCCCAGCCGTTCTCGAGATCTGGAAACGCCCCCTGCACGTGCGCACGTGCAGTAGCACCCTAACCGCAACACATGGGAATGCATTGCCTGGTGGGTGCCTACCTGTATGCCAAGTTTCAGCGAAATCGCCCCAGTAATTACCGAGTTACGGAAATGGGAACAAATTTGGCACCTCTTATTGTTGTATTTTGCACGTGCACTGGGGGTGACCCACATGCATCGAGAGTATCCTAGTTTGGGTAGAAGGGATGCTGCTACCCTACAAAAATTACCGCAAGTCAATCGCTCAAGCGGCTGCTGTGATATGAGCCTCTCAAAATCACTACTTTTGCAAAACAGCTTGAACACCCTTGACTTTTCACGTGGCACGTGCCACGACGGTCACTGAGATGTATCAAAAGTAGTCAATTACGGGGTAGAAGGGATGGGGCTACCCAACAAAAAAGACCGCAGGCCAATCGGTCCAGCGGTTGCTGAGATATAAGCCTCTCAAAAGCGTTACAGGCCGGGCCGGGCCGGGCCGGGCCGCTCATACTGAGATTTTTCCGTTATATTGAAAAGACTCACTTCGCTCGCTGCGCTCGCTCGCTCGTAATGACTTATGGTAGGTACGATTATGTCAATAATATAGCAGAATGGATTTCAGAAATGAATTACACGGTAGTGTAGTGCCGTAGTTTTTCTCTGCCCCTCACACCGAATGTTTTGTCTCGTTTACAGGTTATCATACACTGACAGTTCCAGTCCGCAGGTGGTGCCGGAGAAAAATGGAAAGGTTTGTAGCAGGCACGTAGCCAGGATTTTGCTCAGGGAGGGGCCAAAGGTCGCGACCTAGTGTTGCACCCCCTCCAAATAGGAAAACTTTTCGGATTTGGCCCACTATTTTTGGGGGTTTGGTGCAGTTCTTTTTATCTATTTTATTTTTGTTGAATTTCATTTTATTTCTCCCCTTCAGGGGGATCTTGGGGGGGGGGGCACGGCCCCCTCCCCCTCCCCCTTGCTACGTCCCTGGTTTGTAGTGTAGAACGCCAAGTCTCAGTGTCTGTAACACTTTTGAAAAAGCTTAACTTTTTTTGTTAAATTTAATCGGAGACTCTTGCACCCATGGTTCATTTTACACATGATACGTTCCTTCAAAACTGTGACACGCATCTGTCACGAACGCTGGCATTTTGTACCAATGTCACAGGTCATCGTTTGCAACGATGAGGAATGTGTTTCCCTCGAAACACCACCATGAACATCGCAGAACATTTAACGTAATAGATCGCGGAGGCAAGTCATGTTAAAACGCTGGTTGAACCTCACAAAAGCTCATGAAATAATCATGCGTGATTGTGGGAAGTGGCGTGGAACGTTGGAGCCGTCTATACCTTGGCGGTGGAGCCAGGGGTTGGCAATAACAATGTTATACGGCCGGCTCGGCATAATCAAGGTCTGGAGTTACCATGCCGAAGAATGGTCTAGTCAGACCAACAAAATGCTCCACTGCTATGACGGCCAGCCGTTGACGACTGTGGGCTTAGTTATTAGCAGAACGATTAGCAAATGTCATCAGCATATTCTATGATGGCCCTTAGCGCTTCGCTGCTGAGGGCCATTAGTTTTTAGTGTCTCATGAATGCTTACATTGTAGATGACCAGACCACATCCAAATAAAAGCGAATACGGATATCATTTGTGTAATGTGCACACATGTTTCGTTTACTTTGCGTTTGATGGCCAGTTTTCAACACAACCTGGCTCATTCTATAACACGATTAGTGTTCGTTCTGGGCCAAAACATTAGGTATTGAGCCCGCTCCCAGCTGGGCTATTCAGCCATAAGCGCTCCACGGGGGGGGGGGGGATTCTGCCCCTTGTCTAACTTCCGAAGGGATGGTCATTTAAAGACTGGGAAAACGACAATCGTAAGCTTTCAACAAGGTGGATTTATGAAGCACACAATTGTTTGCCTACGTAGGTCACAGGTCAGGTCAATGTCAGGTCAAGGAAAAACTGAAAGTTTCAACTTTCAACATAACTGGCTTTACAGCACAGTTACCTGGCACACCAACTACAATGCCGGTAAAAGCTAATCCATTGCCCGCGGGGGGGGGGGGAGGGCATTCATATATGCCACAAACCATATTTACCACCACGGTATATATGCCGCAGAAGAATTTGTAGGTTGGTAGGTTGATAGGTTGTAATAAGTTTGAGTTAGGTTGTTTTGTGTTATAATCACTGAGATAGGACGGTTGTGACGCTCTTGAGACGTGGTCTTTCGCGACATATTTGATTAACACCCAACTGCCCACCTTTTCGTCACAGGCGGCCTGGACCCTGGAGGGGAGGTGGACCGGGAAGGACAAGGCAGCGCTGCTGGAGAAGGGTTCTCGTGCCTTCCTACCAGTGGCCTTCTTCATATTCAACATTGTCTACTGGAGTTACTACCTGAACGATAGCCAGGAGTAGACGAGCCTGTGGGCCTGCGGTCCGTAACAGAAGGCTGATGTGGACGATGGATGTGGACAGCGGACGTTCGGTGTGCTGTGGACGTGGTGCAGTGTGGACAGCTGGCATGGACGGCCAGAGCGCAGCTGCTGTAGAGGAGCAGCTATTGTAGACAGTTGTGCACGAGGAAGACGGTTGGGGTGGGCGGTCACGTGGACTGTGGACTGTGTGGAGTGTGGATGGTTAGAGTGGACAATTGGAGTGGGCACGCTAAGTGGATTGTAAGTGCGGTTCGTTGAGGCAGCTGTAATATACGATAAGGCCAGGCTGGACGGTTGGCCTAAGCAGCAGGGTTAGTGCTAGTGAGTCGTTGGCCTAGGTGCCTAGCCCGCGCCCCACTGGGGGGGGCTATTTATAGCCCCCTCCCGTTTTTCTGCAATAACTTCCAAACCGCTTGACGGATCGACGCCAAACTTTCAGTACCTTCGGCTGCATCAATTTGACACCTTGTGTCAAAATTTGAACTTCGTAGCTACCATAGGTCGGCCGGAAATGACGTCAGAGTGACGTCATGTTCGTCCGATTTCGACGCAAAACATTGAACCACGGCAATCGCTCCCAAGAGCTCAGTTTTTAAGCTAGATCCAATTTCTTTGCATGAAAGGACTCAGAATTGACCGCGCTATCAAACTGCTATCTGGGATTTTCAAAATTTTGAAAATTTCGAAAATTTGATATAATAAAATTCAAAATTTATATTTTTATATTTTTTTCAAAAAGTTTTTGACTTTTCGAAAAAACCGGAATATATGTGACAGAACGCATGATTATGACTAACTCTAGCAAGTTTTAGCTAAATATCTTCAAAAATGACCAAGTTATACGCATTTTTGCAAAAAATGCACAATTATTAATTTTTCAAATCAATTTTTCAGTACGTATTTGACATCGTACACCAATATAAATGGCACCATCGTGTTTCTGAGCTCAAACTGCATCCAATAGACACCTTTTTTGTTGAAAAATTTTAACTTCAAAATTTGACCTTTTTTGACCTGAAAGTGACCTGACCTAAGCTAAATTCGACTCAAAATGACCTCGAATGACACAGACGACATCAAATTCGAAATCTATGGCCTAAATGGACCATAAAACATGTGTCACGTGACCGACGCATGATATAATATTTTCGTGACCTGTGATGACCTGACCCTGACCTGAAAATCAAAGTACAAGTTTGGTACCCTCAAGTTATCTAGAGCATCTGTTCACGAGTGTGGAAACCAAAAATGAGCCTGATCTGACTTGTACGACGGCGGCCAGAGCCCAAAAGGTGAACAAGCCAAAGTGCTAATAATTTTTACTTTGACCTGACCTGTGACGTCATCGGTGACCTCGAGGTCAATGAAATTAAGTTTCGCTCGACAGTTTTTCCGGGGCTATCAGACGCCGTTTGAATTTTGACGATCGGCCCAGTAGTTTCGGAGTTAGGAGGGGGGGCTATGAATAGCCCCCCCCCAGTAGGGCGTGTTATACACAGACCCCAGTGGGGCGCGGGCTAGGTGCCTGGCTCTGGAGATATGGAACGCGACTTAGTAGGTATAATCGATACGGTATAATCGATACCGTATTGTCGGGTACTTGCCTAGAGCCCACGTCCTAAGGTTAGCCTTAGCAACAGCAACAAATACATTGTCGGATTCAGAATCGCTTCGAAAGCTCTGAGGAGGAGTGAGAGGACAGGAAACACAAACATGACATTTGTTTTGATCCAGCTTCCCTCCTTCATTCCTTAACCCGCGCCCCACTGGGGTCTGTGTATAACACGCCCTACTGGGGGGGGGGGGGCTATTCATAGCCCCCCCTCCTAACTCCAAAACTACTGGGCCGATCGTCAAAATTCAAACGGCGTCTGATAGCCCCGGAAAAACTGTCGAGCGAAACCTAATTTCATTGACCTCGAGGTCACCGATGACGTCACAGGTCAGGTCAAAGTAAAAATTATTAGCATTTTGGCTTGTTCACATTTTGGGCTCTGGCCGCCGTCTTACAAGTCAGATCAGGCTCATTTTTGGTTTCCACACTCGTGAAGAGATGCTCTAGATACTTTGAGGGTACCAAACTTGTACTTTGATTTTCAGGTCAGGGTCAGGTCATCACAGGTCACGAAAATATTATATCATGCGTCGGTCACGTGACACATGTTTTATGGTCCATTTAGGCCATAGATTTCGAATTTGATGTCGTCTGTGTCATTCGAGGTCATTTGGAGTCGAATTTCGCTTAGGTCAGGTCACTTTCAGGTCAAAAAAGGTCAAATTTTGAAGTTTACATTTTTCAACAAAAAAGGTGTCTAATGGATGCAGTTTGAGCTCAGGAACATGATGGTGCCATTTATATTGGTGTACGATGTCAAATACGTACTGAAAAATTGATTTGAAAAATTAATAATTGTGAATTTTTTGCAATAATGCGTATAACTTGGCCATTTTTGAAGATATTTAGCTAAGACTTGCTAGAGCTAGTCAACATTATGCGTTCTGTCACATATATTCCGGTTTTTTCGAAAAGTCAAAAACTTTTTGAAAAAAATATAAAAATATAAATTTTGAATATTATTATATAAAATTTTCGAAATTTTCAAAATTTTGAAAATCCGAGATAGCAGTTTGATAGCACGGTCAATTCTGAGTCCTTTCATGCAAAGAAATTGGATCTAGCTTAAAAACTGAGCTCTTGGGAGCGATTGCCGTGGTTCAATGTTTTGCGTCGAAATCGGACGAACATGACGTCACTCTGACGTCATTTCCGGCCGACCTGTGGTAGCTACAAAGTTCAAATTTTGACACAAGGTGTCAAATTGATGCAGCCGAAGGTCCTGAAAGTTTGGCGTCGATCCGTCAAGCGGTTTGGAAGTTATTGCAGAAAAACGGGAGGGGGGGGGGGGCTATAAATAGCCCCCCCAGTGGGGCGCGGGTTAATCGTCTCTTACAGGACGGGGCGCGTTAAAAGTGTCTTATGGCTTTGTCTAATCGGCAAAAGAATGACCTAAATATGACCAAAACTGATGTGAGTGTTTCCCCTTAAAGGGACTATCCCACCTTTAACATGGGTTTGAGTTGAGATAGCCAAGTTTGCGGCGAGGTTCAGAAACCACTATCTATCTAGGTTGCAACCCCCGCGGCCTCTTGGTGTTGAAGAAATTCGTTCCCTTCATTTGAAAATGGGCCTTGTACAAGGCCCTATCTTCAGCATGGAGCGACCGTTAGTGTGACGTCACCTTGCTTGGTCATTCTGATTTAAATGGGTTTGTACGTTGAAAAATCGCTTAAAACTTGGTCTGAACTTTGTTGTGGTGCCTACAGAGTAAAAAGAATCAGCTTTATGACAGTAATGTGGCCTGGGGAAGGAGGTAATTTTGGGCTGTGACGTCACATATTTGAAAGTTTGTGTTTGGAATATGGGAAGCCTAAGATGTTTAATGAAAAATAAATGCCAGAACCGTGTTCCTGGTCATCCAATCTATAAAGTCGGGCACAATTTAACTGGTTTTAACAACATTTTAGAAGGTGGGATAGTCCCTTTAACCCGCGCCCCGCTGGGCTATTCAGTCATACGCGCCCTGCTGGGAGGGGGGCAGATTCTGCCCCCCTATAACTTCCGAACCGATGGTCGTAGAAAGACGGGGAAAACGGTAATCGAAAGCTCTCAACAAGCGAATCTTAAGAGGCCATTTTTTTTTTTGCTTGAGAAGTTAGAGGTCAGGTCAAGGTCAGGTCAAGGGTACAAAATGCAAGTTTCTACAGTATCGGCCTTGCACCGTAGTTGCCGAAGAATGGACTGAGACTGATTGCCCAAAACGTGTTCTTAGACTACAAAGACAATGTTCGTTGCATACAATATCATGCAAAGGTCAAGGTCAAGGTCAGGTCAGGTTACCAAAAACGAAATATACAAAAGGGCATGTGCGACACATTTTTTATGGCTCATTTTATTCAAAAATTCAATAGGCACACTCAATAAGTGATATGGACCACATTTGGATGAATTTCAGGTCGAGGTCAGGTCAAGGTCAGGTCAAGTGAGGTCAAATTTTGAAGTTGGTTGTTGATGCCTAAAAAGGTGTCTATGTGATGTAGTTTTTCACGGCGAATCTAATGGTGCCATTTTTCTTTCCGTACGAGCTCTAGAACTAAAAAAAACATTTTTTTTCACAAAAATGTGTCGTGACGTCATAATTTTTTAAAACAACTCGCACATTTTTTAACTGACTTCTAAAAATTGGTTTGTGGGTGTACATATACCACTTCTCTGACATATATTCCTTTTTCAATACACTCAAAATTTTGGATTTCATAATTATTTTCCAAAAAAGTCAGTTAAAAAAGGGGCCAAAATCCAAAACTTTCAACAAAAAAAAACGACACAGCTAGGTGTTTGATAGACCAAGTAAAATAACGTATAATTTTTTTTTTACGTTTTGATTCCTCAAAAAATGAAGATGTTAGCGGCGTTTGAAATTTTGCCATTTTTTATTTTAGGCGAAAATGGCGAACATGACGTCACTAAAACGTCATTTACTCAAAAATTTCCGACGGATTTCGCTCAAATTTTCAGGGAACATGTCAAATTGATGTATGATAAGGTACTGAAAGTTTGACGTCGCTGGCGTAACGCGTTTAGAAGTTATTGGCGAGAAACGGGAGGGGGGCAGATTCTGTTCCCCCCAGCGGGGCGCGGGTTAATATATGCACATCTGCACTTACTGAATAAATGTGAATAAATGTAGTTCCAAAAAAGTCTTTTAGCTTTGTTCATTACGTTTCTAGCTCAATAATAGGTAAGAAGAAAAAACGCTGGATGTCAGGAACAAGAACGTAAGACTTGTTGGGAATCGTTGGAATGCACTTGGTTCAAACACGTCAGAGACAGACTTCTCTCTTTATATTTACAGAGAAGTTTGTGCGTCACAGTATGTCTTACGTGACTTCTTTATTGATGAGTCACTGTAACCATGGATGAGATAATACGCTTCCTTTAACGCTTCGGGAAACCTTAAACGCTTCGAGAAACTTTTGGCATACCTGAGTTGAATAGAATAAAAGGTGAAGTTTACGCGTGAATCAAGTGCAGTTACTAGTTAGACATTACAAGGGACATAGACGCTTAGTGTCCCATTACGGATAAAAACCACCGAGAAATGTCTAGCTCATCCTGAACTGTACGAAAATGACGATGTAGGTGACGATGGTGGACATGATGGCCACCATGGTGGAGCGCTGCAGCCGGTAGTAGCCCAGGTCGCCCAGGTGGTCCAGGTCGCGGC